TCTCTCTCTCTCTCTCTCTCTCTCTCTCTCTCTCTCTCTCTCTCTCTGTGTGTGTGTGTGTCTACAGAATTAGCTGTATTATAGATTTATTTTAGATAAATAGTTAATAGTATGATTATGCAGGTCTTTTTCAGACATTTTTATTTATATTTTCCTACCTACCTCTTTCTATAGCTAGCCTTTCTCCACTTCCTTAAAGAGCCCCCCATTATCCCCTTGACTGTTTGCTGGAATTAGTCTAGCTAATGAGAGACTGCACTGAACACCAAGGAGTCTGTCTGAGGGTGGACTCTGTGAGCACAGACCACCTGACTTCCATGGCTGTGGCTTGCCTTTGTCCTGCAATGTCTTTCTGCTAGGAAGATCCGGAGGGTTGATGGAACAGTTTACTTTCCATTCAGCTAGTGTCCTCTTCTTTATTTATCTGATTCCATCTCATTTGGGGAAAGCTCACAAAGTGAATGCATACATAGCACCAGAGTTTTTAGAAAGAAGAAAACGGCTTGAAATCCCATATTTTTATTTATATGGAATAAATAAAATTCTTATCAGGATTTTTAAGTCCTGGTAGAGCTTTGCTTTTTGTTTTGAGTTTTTCTAAATTGCACATATGAGATTAAAGACATGATACCTCTTTTTAATTTACTCTCTAGTTCCGTCATATATGTACATATATGGTATTAGGAATAAAAGGCCCTCTATTGTGTGGAGCATTCTGAGGACACAGATAGTGACAAAATGTAGCAGTTAGATATATTCATAGGTGTCCTGTTTCCATGGTTTTCAGGATCAGTGCTTACATTGAGGAAGAAGTCCAGAGACGCCTGCATGATTTGCACAGGGCGATAAGTGACGCCAGCAATGCACCTGCTGATGTGATGAAGGTGAGCTAAAGGAGCCCGGTTATACAATCATTACTGCTGTTTAATGAAAACTCAGGTGTGGAATGTTCCAGAAAGAGCACTGAATAGTGAAAGAGAATTAATCGAAGAATAGCTTATTTTAAAAATTTGTAGTTCTGAGGAAACATTCATCAGATATTTTTTATTTACTTTGATTCTGTTTTTTCTCCAAATAAAACCAATTTCTGTAGTAAATAGTTTACCTTATAAGTCATTCCAAGTAGATATATACTTTTCTACTTGAGAAAATGTATACTTTTGTAAGTTGATGTTTATCAAATAACAGTTTATTTCTTTTGTATTAGCATAAGTGAAATTTTACAAAGCAGTGGGTTTTTATGATATTTTCGTCCATACATGCAAGATAATTTGATCTTGTTACACCATCTCCCTCTTTATTCCCCATCCCCCTTGTCTCCATTCACATCCCTAATTTGCATTTCTTCCTGTTTTTTATGCTCTGATACTGCTTAGTGTCTGTTTTGATTTGATTTTTTTTTCTAAATGGCTCATTTGAACAAAAAGACTTAATACTTTTCTTGAATCAAGATTGTCATGATGATCTGTTCCACTCATCGCCCTGTGATTGACACAGTTTTGCTTTTCTTTATGGCTGACTGAAATTCCCTTGCATAGATAGATAGATAGATAGATAGATAGATAGATAGATAGATAGATA